TGTTACTGTTATCGAAATCTTCATTATATTCATTATGACCAATCCCAGAAAAAATAGGCTATAAAAAGTTGCATAATGCTAAAATAATTACATAAGCAAAATAACTACAACAGTACCATAGACAACGTCATCATTTTAAACGTAGACCAAAAAAAGATAGTCCATTTGTCATGAAACATGATAGATATTCTCAACGATAAAAAGGTGCCCACCAACCTAAAGAAAAAAATCATACAAGAGCAGCATCCAGCCTGTGACTATGTATGTCTTAGAAACAATGGCAATAATCCTAAAAACAGCAGAACAACTACGAATTGCACAAATAGCTATGAGGAGAATCATGAGAATAATCCAGAGGGGAGAATAACCCTGAGTAACAAAATGCGGCACTGCAGTTCAAAATATCAAATTCGTCTTGATGTAAATGAAATTATAACATTTTAACATGGAATATTTACATATATTTGTACGCGAAGAAACCACATGAAATGTAAATGTCGAGAGGTACGTGGTACCAAAAAACTGGCTTGACTTAGAATATATCGACTATCAACACCCATATACGTGAAAAATCAAAGTAATAGATGTTTTGAAAGGAGTTGCAAGCCTGAAGTTACAATGGATAGGACATGTGGCGCGACAGGATCCAGACCGATGCCGATAGTCCCAAAAAATCATACTATAGAGACCCACAAGGCCGATCATAAAAGAGATGGGTCAAAAAGGTTAGAACAGTGGCGGGAAGATAATGGATGATATTAGCTAGAGATCAATACATAGAAGTGGGTTATTCCCAACATTGGATGGAACCAAGCAAATACAGAGGAAGAAGTACACTAAGATGTTCAAAACTGTTTATGTTTTTGACGGTGATACCTTCAATCAAAGCAGCAGTTTTGCTGAAATCTGTGTGAGTTAGAAACCTTGTTTATGTTTTACCAACCCGACATTTTTAACTTGATAAACATTAAATCTTAAAATTTTAAGATATTTTGCATTTTATTTTGTAATTATTATGGTGACAATTATTTTATTTTAACTTTTTTAGAGGAGTGTTACAATTATTTTATTTTAACTTAAATATTTTTTAGAGAGTTTCTTTTTATTAAAAGTAGTGTACTTCTCTAAGAGGGGATCTCAGAATTTAGTCCAGTGGCAGCGGCATATACATAAGATACTGTTTTTCCTGTCCTTTTGCATTTAGTGGTGGGCCACCATCGAATTGAACGAAAACTATACCGACCAAAAACAAAGCAAGGAGGAAATTTGCGAATAGCTCGGAAGAGAAAAGGGTTCCCCTAATTAAATATAATAAGAGCGGCAATAAATAGTTTCGTGTTTCTTCTGCCCTTATTAGCATTTAGGCAAAGGAGTCGCGTTTTGATTGTGACAGAATAAACAAAGGAGCGAGCAACGTGAAAGAGGCAATTATTTTGGAGGGATGCATGTGCCACAGCCTTTTGAATCGGAAAAAAACGACATTTTGGGAGTATGCTAACTGAAAAATATGGCCATTGTATTCAGGATTTACTCGGCTGTCAGGCCGAACTGGTCGGCTATTCAAATTGGAACTGGGGACACGAAAAGGCTTAAATTTCGCGGACCATGGGAATGGCGAAGACAGCGAACAAGTTCGTGTGACGCGACCTGACGATCTGATGAGGAAGATCGGCCGAGATCGGATGCCCTTTTAAAGATCGCATCGGCTCAAATAATACCACATAGATTTACCAACACTGAAAAATAAAAAATATATCTATTTTGAAGGTATAGACATTAGATACAAACATATTGTCATGTTTGAACATATACCTACACTCAGATACAAAAAAACGACATGGAGAAAATTTTAGTAAAATTTAAAGTGTTATATTTTTGTTATTTTTAGCTCTGTTTTTATGAATTTTTTAGCAAACTGAATGTAATTATATCATCTTTTATTCGTAAACTTAGTTTTTTATAAACTTTATTGTTTGGCATATTATACAGGGTTAATCGAGGGGTTGTTTTTTTACGCTAATTTTAAAACACCCTGTGCAATAATGTCGTTTGTAAATTTTCCTAAAATATAATTTTACGGTCAGAACCACGTCTTCTGAGCATTTTGTTTTTTGAATCATATCAATACATACCTTGGTTAATTTTTAAGAGCAAAGTGAGCTTGCAACCAACAATTTGCATTTTTTTCTATACCAACAATCAATCATTTCTTTTTTGAAGTTATTTTTCAACATGACAAGGTGGCTTTAGTGATTATTGTGTGTATATACTACCGTTGATTGAAAGAACTGTGATACTACTATGAACTGCCCATCTGGAGAGTTAGAGGTCGCGAAGCAGTACCAGCTTCATTAAATGAACTTCGCTTGGTCCTTAAAGAAGAATGGGAAAACATAACGCAATATGATATACATATGCAGCCTCAATGATAGTATGAACGGACGTATACAGACAGTTATAGTAGCCAAGGACGGCAATACTGCAAAGTATTAGGCTATTTTTTACAATTTTTTTTCTGTTTGTATACTTGAGTATTGCAGATGTTTTCTTTAATAGCGTTAGTTATGTTATTGTTATTAATGTTTATTAAAACCCGGACTGTATCGGTAGTCTTAACGTTTTTTTTTTAATTTAATATAGAATATCCAAGATAGTATCCAAGGCAGGATGTAATATGACGTCCCGACAATAGTCACCAAAACCATCTCGTCATATTAAAAAATTACATCAAAAAGTAATGATAATTAAAAAAATTGCAAATTGATCGTTATCAGATCATTTCGTTTTTAAAAATTAACCAAATCATGTATTGACATGTATCAAAGAACAAAATGCTCAGAAGTCATGGTTCTGAGCGTAAAATTATATTTTAAGAAAATTTACAGACGAAATTATTGCACCGGGTGTTTTAAAGTTAGGGGTAAGAAAACAACCCCTCGATTAACCCTGCCTAATATGCCTAATACTAAAGTTTATAAAAAACTTGAGTGTACGAATAAAAGGTGATATAATTATATACAGCTTGGTAAAAAAAAATCTTGGAAAAAGATAGCAATACATGATTATAATTTTGTAAAAAGAGTAAAGATTTATAATATGCCTACAATACTCTTATTAAACAATATAATGTTATTATAAAATGTATTACAGAATGACAATTTGAGAAGTGGTCACCGGGTATATCTCTCAGACAAAAAATAATGTCAATCTCGTTTAAATACCAGGTGATAGGAGAGTGAACCAAAATATAAAAAAAGTTATAAATTTAAAAACAAATGCTGTTTTTGAGATTTTGCGCGGCAGAAGATCATACTGTATTTAGTGAAAAAAAAGTTAACAAAATATCATAAATTCTTCATAATTAGCATAAAGTCTCAAATATTATAACACAGTTATAAAGTATTCATTTTCCAGGAATTTAGCACATTCTTTTTATCTAAACAAACAAAAATGCCATAAAGCTCTTGCCATTAAAAATATTTTAATATGGATGTGTGAAAATCTGACGAACGATATAAAAACATCTATTAACACGCGGTTTCAGATTTATAAGCACACTTAATTCGGCTTTGACGTTTAATATTTATTTTATTGCAAAAGAAGAAGCGAACATATCTTGCGATAAATTATTCGTATTTATCCTGTAAGCGAAGTTTATTTGACATTTAATTAAATATCTGTTGTTTGAGATGCTAGTACAAGTGTTAAGTGCACATTGATTTCTTTCCTTTTAGTGAACTTGTGGCTTTATGGGCTTCTATCTAACAAAAAATATTTATAGTCAATTGGTGGCCTTTTAATAAATTTATGTGTTTTGGCATTTTCAATCATAACAAATTTCTTAAAACTAAATGCATAGATAATATTCTTCATCCAATGGTCAAGAAGATTTATCCTTTTGCCTTTCTCGGTTTTACATAACAGTACCCACTGCTGTACCACTCAAAAAATCACTCTTGTGCTCTTCTCTCGGGAGGCGGAGGATATTCTCATTGTTGAGCAGAAGAATATCAATGTTGGGATGATAATGGACGTTTTTCATGTTTCGCAGCAAAGCGTTTGATTTGTTTTATAATAGAAGGAAAATAATTCTCTATCCTGAGATCTCTATTAAGGTCATCATTTTGGACATATTATAGAGCATCAGCCATGCATTGTGCGACACTTGAATATTTGACGGTGCTTTCAGTCGTACATACTCCCAATTAAATGTCTTAAGTCGCCATGAATGTCGTAAACCCGTTAGGGATCTGATTGTAAATGATTAGTTTATTGTGCATTGAACTTAGAAACATATCTGAGTCCCTTACGCTTCTTCTTTGTACGTTCTTACCATTTATATTTTGCATCTAAAATCATGTCTAGTCTAATGGATCTCTTCTATTTTAATACGATATACGATATCTAAAACTAATGTGGAGAGACGTCAACACCTTAAGTCTGATTCATCTTTTTATTTGCCCAGTTCTGAATATCATCGCTTGTGTTCTGCAGTTTGATGATCGTCGATGAATTCTGCTTGATGGTTTTTCAGCTAACATGTGCAGCTAACATCTGCTAATATGGTATTGTATATATACTCTGACTTGGTCAAGTTATTTGTATAGTGTAGATATAAAACTGGTCATAAAACAATTTTGTATCCTAAGCACTACCATCTTAATATTATTTTAATTTTTTTGTTCTTTGACATTATAAACATTTATAAATGTTTATTTTAACAATAAGACTGACAATATTATTTGTATAATGTTTTGTATTATCTTTTGTTTGTTTGTTTGTGTACCTTGTTTTTTTACTTTGTTTGTTAGTTTACCTTTGTCTACAAATTGAAAAATTTTTTGACAATAAAGGCATTTATTTTATTTATTATTAAATATACTAGTTAAAGTAGTTCATGCGATCACTCTGATCAATGGTCTTTCTATTATATATAAATAATTAAATCTTATAATCAATAATTAACATAATAATATAACTAATTTACATTTTTTTTGCAGGAAAAAGTACCGTTAGATTTTCTATTTACTCCGGAGACCCAGACGGCTTATTCAGCATTGATCCAGCGACGGGAACAATCACAGTTTCAGGAATATTGGATCATGAAAAAAGATCGGCAGTGTTGCTCAATATTCAAGCTACTAGCGGAAATCCACCAGTATATGGTCATACACAGGTAGTTATGAATCTAAGTTATATTTTTAATTATTATCTATAAAAATCTCTTCTTAACTTATCTGTAGATTGTTCCATTGCAGTCTCCAATTCCGTTCTTTTTGCAAAGACTAATAACTTGTAGATTGAACCTTATATATCTCTTTTCTAATGGCTTATCAGAGCCGCACATTTGCCAGGTTATCGCACTGATAGAGAATGTCATCAGCAATTCGGATTGACAGAATGTGCATACGGCTTTATCTATTAATCACTTTTAAGTGCCTGGTGAGGTTGCATACAAAATAGTTAAAATACATGTATTTATTTTAACTATTATAAATGTATATGTTTTTTAATATTTAAAACTTGCTAACTACAGTTTTAACAGTTTTTGGCCCATTTTTAATTAACTGTTTTATCTATTTTCTATATTCTACTTTATCTATGTTCTATATTCCTCTTAATAGAAAATGTTTTGGTTAATTTTGCTGAAACCACATAGAAATAACACCTTCTATATATCATCAAAACATGAAATTTATAGAGTATAATAAAAGTGACTGTAAAATAAAATTATCAATTGGAGCAATACAATATAAATATACAGGGTGTCCAAATATTCCGTAGATATAGAAATACTACGTATTTTTGGAATAAAAATAACTTCACTAGACACAATTTAATTCTATACAAAAATACTTGGGTTGTCCGCTAGAGGGCATCAAACTTTAAAAAAATAAATACATTAAGATCTTTTAAGAACCGATAGTCTGAGTTGAATGAGAATTGGGGCATTTGAACTTTTGATTTTTATAAAAACAACAAGAAAAAGTACGGAAAGGGTAAAAATTACCTCCACCCCTATACCCTACATATATTTTAGTAGAAATATTTTACTGATTTTTCTTCAAAATCTTTGTCTCTTGTAAAAAAACACAACATCGCGTCGCATAGAGTTTTTTGAGATTTAAAAAAAAACCTCCGAAATATACAGGGAGTTTTAATATTTCATGGACATAGAACTACTGCGTATTTTTTGAATCAAAATAAGTTAGCTGCACAGAATTTACCTCTGTACTAACTAAAGTGCTTCGTTTGTCGGTTTCGGAAAAACATTTTTTTTTTCTCAAAAAGTATGCGAGGTGGCGTTTTTTACAGGAGATAAATTTAGAAAATACTAGAAGGATAATCTTCGATGGAGTTGGAAAATATTTCTACTAAGATTTATATAGGGGTAGGGGTAGTTTTCATCTTTCCCGTACATTTTCTTAATTTGTGTCTAAATCAAATGTTAAAGCGCCTAGCAAAACATAGGCACCCCAAATCTCATTCAAATCGGACTATCGATTCTTAAAATATCTTAAAAATGTTTTTATTTTTTAAAGCTTGGTGCCCTCTAGCGGACAAATAAAGCATTTTTGTATAGAGATAAACTGTCTCCAATGAACTTATTTTAATTCCAAATTTACGTAATATTTCTATGTCCATGGAGTATTGGGACACCCTGTATAATTTTATCATGAATTCCATACCAGGAAGTCAATTCATGTGAAATTAATACTGTGTATAAAATAGAAACTCGGAACTTAAGTTATATATAACTTAAGTTATTAATTGCGAAAATGAACAGGACGGTCATTGGTCTAATACCAAGTTTTAATACTTGATTGATTAATCAGTCAAAAATTTATTCTGCTTAGAAGCGTGACAGTGTGAATTGCTTCCTGTGAAATATCATTAGCAATTTTATTATGTATATGTTACGGTTAAGGTCCGATGTCCGGTTAATGTCGACATTACCCGGTTAATCTCGAGAATACATATATATCTCGAGAATTACACACAACAAAACAACCAAAAACATAACCAAACCCAAACATTAACCTGTTAATGCCGACATTAAGGTGGAATCTCGCTATACCTTCCGTTTCCATTCCATATTCGTTCCGTATTTTTATTGTATTGACGCTATACGCCGGCACCGTTCCGTATCAGTTTCATACTTTTTATTGTACAATTTATATCATTATTTATTATCATTATTATTATCATATTTATATTATTTTTATATTATTATGTATTTATGTACAAGTTTTATTTTAAAAATTTGTATCTTTGAAAAAGGTACCTAATAGATTTAATTAAGAGGTAAAAGAATAAATAAATATTAGCAAAATGTTAACAGAGCTGGTACAAATATAAGATTTTGACAACGCTGTTTCCGATACGCTTCAGTCCGTCCGCCAAAAAATGTATGGAAGGAAAGGATATGGAATGGAAGGGAAACGGAACGGATAGTGTTCATTGTCCTATTGATTTACATGATATAATATAGTTTATGTAAACGGAAGGGTAACGGATGGTATCTGATACGGAAGGTATAGTGAGAATCCACCTTTAACCGGACATCGGCCTTTAACCGTAACATATATACTATATTATATCAATTAATTTTCTTCTAATTTGCATTTTTCTTCAATTTTTACCCGCAGGTCAACATCGATATCGACGACGTAAACGACAACACTCCCGAGTTCGAATCACCCACAGTCCACATATCCGTACCGGAAAATGCAGAAATTGGTGTTCCACTCTACGCTGCCCACGCCACTGACAAGGACAGCGGCTCCAACGGGATAGTTCGTTACAAATTAGCGAAGAGCGGTTCCGATCTGTTCAAGATCGACGCAAAACTAGGCCATCTGACGTTGACCAGGCATTTGGACTACGAGAGCGTTCAGAGGCATACACTGGTTATAACGGCCACCGATATGGGGGTGCCTCCCTTATCAGCCAACTTGACCGTTCTGGTTGAGGTGCAAGATATGAACGACAATCCTCCTGTCTTTGAAAAGAACCAATATAGTTTGAGCGTTTTGGAATCATTGCCAATAAACTCAGAAGTAAGTTCACTTCTTTACTATTCTTATACTTGTTTTTCGAAATGGACAAAAAGGATTTGTAGAAAATTCTAAAACTAATCCCGCGTCCTCATGACTACTTTAGTATTTATATTGGCTACCTGAGTATTTATATTTTCAAATTAGCTGATAATTTGTAAAATACAGAGGCCAGCTTAATTTTTTTAATTACGGACCAGCATTTTTTATTACACATCTTGAAAGAATTCGGTCTCCTGAGTATAATGATATGCCACACTTAATATTTTTATTTTGCTTCGGGCACTTAAACACAATTTATTTAAACAAATTTTAAGTCCGGCTCCTATCTTGGTCCAGAGCCAGTAAGTACTGGGAATACCCAGATGTATGGCCCGTAATGCACTAAAACTCTGGATCAGGGAAAAGCACAATGTCCATTGGAGAAACAGACAGGGGCATAGGCAAAGTTTTTATCCAAGGACCTAGCTCTAAAACCGCAAAAGAACTGTTAATGCTTAGCAGGAATAAAGTGCTGATTACGACAAGCCTCTTGACAGGACACATGGCTGTCAAGTGTTACCTGAACAAGCTCAACCTGTATCAAGGAAGTCTTTGCTGCAGACTCTGCGATAAAGATCCTGAAACAGCGGAGCACATAATATGTCATTGCGAGGCTCTGGATCGCAAGCGACACTTTTTACTTGGGGAAGCTAGGCTAGAACCGGAGGAACTATGCTCCCATCCTGTCAACCTGCATAAGCTAGTGCAGGTCACAAGGATAGGAGAATGGATGCAGATATAGAAGGGGGACAAACACAATAGGCTTCACAGGTCGCAGTGTCTCCGGCAGAGGGCGGCCCCTTGTTATGGAAAAAAAAGTCCGGCTCTGTTTTTTTTTAAATAAGTAATCTATATATACAGGGTGTTTCAAAACAAATGCGAAAAACTTTAGGGGGTGATTCCTTGTTCAAAATAAAGGGTAGTTTGCTTTATAAACGTTGGGTCAAAAGTCAACCATTAGGGAGATATCGCGGTACAAAGATGGCGGAAAAATAATGTTTTATTTTTTATCTTGAAAACGAAAAGAGATAGACTAATGAAATTTTATGGAAGCATTACTGTTATGAAAACACACTTTCAGGTAATTTTTTTACTTTTTTAAAATGAGTGGAAGGGGTTGAAATAAACTACCCCTATCATTCTTGTTAACGAAATTTAAAGAAAAATCTTATCAAACACATGCAAATGCTTTAATTTGGATAGTCTGGTTGGTTTAGAAACTTTTTTACCTCTTGTGTTTTTTTGATAAAACTCACCGATTGGAAATTAAAAAATAAAATGTAAAGCATTACATGTCAGGACAAAAAACATTTTTAGATTAAGAATCTAGTGATAATAACGATAATAATAATCATCTAGATAATAACGTATTGCAGTAGAGTAATGTCAAATAAAATAATATTAGGAACATCCTAAAAAGTAACAGCGGCCGATTAGATTTTTTCCTAAAAAAATTACAGCAGCCCACTAGATTCTTTATCAGAAAATGTTTTTTGTCCTGACATGTAATGCTTTACATTTTATTTTTTAATTTCAAATCGGTGAGTTTTATCAAAAAAATACAAGAGATAAAAAAGTTTCTAAACAAACTAAACTATCCAAATTAATTCGTGTGCATGTGTTTGATAAGATTTTTCTTTAAATTTCGTTAACAAGAATGATAGGGGTAGTTTATTTCAACCCCTTTCACTCATTTTAAAAAATTGAAAAAATTACCAGAAAGTGTGTTTTCATAACAGTAATGCTTCCATAAAATTTTATTAGTCTATCTCTTTTCCTTTTCAAGATAAAAAATAAAAACATTATTTTTCCGCCATCTTTGTACCGCAATATCTCCCTAATGGTTGACTTTTGACCCAACGTTTATGAAGCAAACTACCCTTTATTTTGAACAAGGAATCACCCCCTGAAGTTTTTCGCATTTGTTTTGAAACACCCTTTATATATAATCTTAATATTAATCATAGTAACAGTACTAATGAGCTTTAAAACTTAACAATGACGTGTGGTAAAACATTGAATACGGAAAATCAAATACAGTAAAATAAGAAAAACTAATATAAAATAAATAATATAAATAAAATATAAGCAATGAAATAATTTTCCCGAAAGATGGATTGGAAATGGTGAAGCAGTATAATGGACCACGAGGTTCCTGAACCTGTAACCAAGGAATATTTTTCTTTGGGTGGCATATTACTTGATGTCATTTGTAAAAGTGTAAAAATTTGTAAAAAAGTGTAGTAATTTGTAAAAATGCATTCGGAAGTATAAGAAGATCTATTGAACATACGGATTGGGATATATATATAAAATTGAACGAAAAATAAATTTGTGCTTTAGGGAAGGTGATAATTTCGAAATTTTTGAACATGTAGAACATTAGAAACTGGTTTGTACAAGTTGATTTATTTGCAAACATTACGATTAGTATTATGTATATTACTAGATCGTTACATTCAGGTCTCATTTTCATAATACATAAAGGTAAAAATAATATCTTTAAAATACTGACCTGGATATAACTTATTTGAATCTGCCATTTGGCTTTATTTTCCTTAATCATTGCTAATAATTAGCACCCATCAATATTGTTACGATTATTATAATAAGGTTAAATAATTTAAAAGGCCAGAGCCGGACTTGAAATTAATTTAAATAGTGTTGTTAAAGTGCTTAAAAGAAAAGAAAATATTAATTGTAGCATATCGTTGTACTCAGGAGGCCGAATTCTTTCAAACTTTGAAATAAAAAATGCAGATCAGTATTTGAAATAAACAAGTTGGTCTATGTATCTCAGAAATTATTAGCTAATTTGAAAATTTAAAAAAGTGGTTATGAGAACGCGTAATTATTTTTTCAATTTTTTTTCAAAAGTAATGACAGTTTTTTTTCAAAAAACTCAGAAATCCTTGAAAATTTTTAAACTTTTTTGATAGCATGTTGGCGATCATCCCAAAGCACAACTTTGTCCCAATTTAACCATGTTCGTATCTATTATATGGTTTTCAAGATACCAATGCTCGTACCTCGAGTTTGTAACACTCTGTATAGCTCGTCGGACTTCATTCACACTTGAATCCCTTTTACTTACTTTGCTTTTAATGTTTTCATCCAAAAATAGATTAAATAGTATATATTATTCACTTTATTGTTATTTATTATTTAATTATTATAAATAATGAGCACATCAGAGATTTTTTGAAATCTGCAAAAATATATTACTACTAACTATACTACTAATATATACCGTGTCCCATTATAAGAAAATAGTTTATACCAAATGAGTAACTGTGGAACTGTGAGACAGCGGATACCATTTTTGGCATATGTATTAAATCTTGATCATAAACTGTAATTTATGAACGAATATTTTAACTCTGTTAAAAGTGGAACAAAAGAAATCACTGTAAATACAGTTAAAAATGCTCTAAGACACAATAGTAATTTCAGTTATTTTGACGTAAATATGCATAGGTATATGTAAATCATTCAGCAAATACAAAATACGCTCAAGGAAGAAATAATGAAGAAAATAGACATAATAAACTACGTCGCTTAAATAAAACATATCATGCAGTTAGAAATTTCCTCGTGCAGTCACAAAATAAAAGTAAAAGTTTAGAAGAATGACAGGTGCTAGTTATCCGGCTTCGCGTATAGAGTAACTTTTTCTTTCAAACTATAAAGTATTTACATGTAACGGTTAATATCTCTTTCGTTGGCAAATCTATTGCGGCGTCCTGTGAAATTACTCTACATTATCAGTAAATCCAAAAAGAACACGATTTAAACTTCTGACTTGTAATTTTGATATTTTGCAGATAACTCAGTTCACTGCCGTTGACGCGGATACTGGAAATAACGCGAGGATAACGTATCGACTGGTTGCGAGTAATGACTCACAAGAATCACATGAGCAGGTGTTTGGAATATTTCCAAACAGTGGATGGCTGTATCTGAAAGGAAACTTGGATCGAGAAAGCAGAGAAAATTATAACTTAATAGTAGCAGCCAAAGGTAATATTTATTTAATTATTAATTTAGGAGGTTATTAGTTTTGAGAGACATATTCTGTAACTTAGAGATTGTATGCAGTAAATACATGGTAAATACACTCACCGGCACGAAAAACGGGCACCTTAAAATTTTGATGTATTTTAAAGGTTAATATATTTTGTTCTAGTAGGCCGATTTTGATGATTTTTTAAGAAATTTGTAGCTTATGTAGCTTATTTGACTTTTTAATATCTCTTTCTAAATTAAAAATGAAAAGAATCATCTAGGTGCGTCTTTTCTCGATAGTTTGTTTTTTGATTCGTCTCAATAGCTTTACTTTTATAGGAGATATTCGCTTTTGAATAAGACTTAAGATTTACAGCAATTTTAGCACTGAAAGCATACCTTTGATTTTGGGTCCTCATGTTTACTGTTTATGTAATATCACTGTCGTTAAAAAGTCATATTATTGTTTATTGACGTTTACTTTAGTAGAGATGGTTTTAAGTTCTGAAAGTATCGGCTATTGCTGCTTTCATTTATAACTTTTGGACTTAAAACCAACTTTGCTAGAGTAACTGCCCAACAGGCAATGATAATATGATTTTTCAAAGACAGTGGCATTACATAAATCATAAATACTATTTTATAGGTCTGTTGACTAGGACCAAAATCAACTATATGGTTTTAATGTAAAAATACGAAAAAATGTTAGTGTCTTCTTCAAAAGTGAATATCTCAAAAAAAAATAAAGCTAGTGAGATGAACTAAAAAACAAATTATCTAGAGAAGATACGCCTAGATGAATAATGTTTAAATTCCTTACTTTATACACATATATACTCCACAAGGTGTTTCACACTTTCACATTCAACATTTTGTATGGACATTTTGTTTTCCCTCGTATAATTGGCAGATTACAACTTTCGTTTTTAATTTAAAGACACTAAAAAGTCTAATAATTCAGCTACACATTGCTTAAAAAATCATCAATATCGGTCCACTGGAACACAATATATAAAACTTTAAAATAGAAAAGAAACTGAAAAGTTTAAGCTGCCGGTTTTCGTGCCGGTGTGTAGTATGAATATTTAGAAATTACACAAGTTGACCCTTGAAAAGTGGCATTGTGGAATACATATCTCGTATAAAAAAATACTGTCAGGAAAGTTCTAAATAAATATCAGGGATTGGATTTGACACATAGTATTACCCTACCTGTAGTTGAGAAATGTTTTATTGTAGTTTAGATGTAGTATTTTTTATTTTTTTTAGATGTATTATTATTGTAGTACGTAGTTTTGAACGTGATTAAAATCCATATTAATATATCTAAAGTATCATTCAAATGAATATTTTCAGACAACGGCTTGCCTCCACTCACAGCTACGTCACAGGTGACAGTGGAAGTACTCGATGTGAACGATAACGATCCTATTTTTAAGCAAGAGATGTATTCATTCAAGATCGAGGAAAATCTTTCGAGGGGAACTTTCGTTGGCCGAATTCATGCGACAGATGCGGATGCGGCCATCAACGCAGCAATCAAATACAGTTTGATTCCTGGAAACAGCAGCTTTCAGATAAATGCCATTAGTGGTAAGTTAAACAATTTTATTTGACGTTATAAAATTGCAATTTTTACTCATTAAAATGACAACATTCATTAAAATAACCAAAAGATAAGTCATTCGAATTGTTTTTAAAATATTACAGTATTGAATCTGTGGATGGTTCTTAGTAAAACGTCGTTTAAATATTAATATTTTACTAAAACACGTTTTTAGGTGTTTCAAGTTTAATGTTTTTTATTAAACTATTTAAAACCAACCGCCATACATAAATTTCGTTACACAGTAGTTCGACGGTTAATTTTAAGAAGCTCTTGAAAAAGACTTAACAAGCGTGTTTTATTAAAAATTGGTGTTATTCAGATTGCCTGTTTTGTTCAGCAGACTTCTTCGTTCTTGAAAAATTTTAAGAAGATACAATAATCAATCAATAACAGTTCCCAATAAATACACACATACATCACAGTCATCTCAGTTTTAATAATGTAATCAAAGGATATGGGTTATATTACATAGTAACTAGTAACCAACACGTTGGTTATTATACACAGGGTTTCCCATTTTCATGTGTTTTATGGGGTTTCTCGTCTATGAGACATACAAAGATGCGGTTTTTACATTGCTGTACTACTTTTTTATGAAACTAAAGATGCTATACACAGCTTTGTCCTAGCCCCTTTGGTTTCTGAAATACAGGGAAAATTTGGAAATTTTGCATTTTTTGGCCCCCTTTATATCTCGGTTATCTTATAACTTATCGAAAAGGCGAAAACTGGGTTCCATAGAGTTTTTCAGGTACAACTCAATGGCATAACCAGATTTTCGCTGCGACTTCATTCGCCGGACGATCATTCTTGAAATGTTTGGGCCATAACTTACGTTTTTTTTTCAGGAATACCTTGTATATTATTTTATATGTCTTGTTCTGAACTTTCTACAAATATAGTATACTATACTTATTTTCATATACAGGCTGGTCTGAACTGTATTCCGGAAACTTCGGCAGCGTATTCTGCAGATAAAAATAAGTAAAAAAGTTCGTATAAATGTATGTCCTAAAATGCTTAGTTATATTATAAAATGCTTAGTTATATATAACTTAGTTATATTAAAAAATATATATATTTATACGCCGTAAATGTATATGTTTTTACTCAGTAGTTTTATACCGGTACGGACGAAAAGTTATTAGTATTCAAACCAGTTAAAAATGTGTAGGTGGCGCCCTCTACTAGTAGTAGGAGTCATATTAGTATAGTAGGAGTCTATAAGTAGGAGTCATATTGACATCAAAATCAAATTTCTCATGTCAAAAAACTCCCAGATACCAATTTGCATCCAAATATTAATGTTACTTCTGATATTATTTGGAAAAAATCGAAATAAAAATGAAATTTCTACACCCTGTATCTCCGAAACTAAGCATTTTAGGACACACATTTAGACGAACTTTTTTACTTATTTTTATCTGCAGAATATGCTGCCAAAGTTTCCGGAATACAGTTCGGGCCACACCGTATAAAGTAATAAAATGCATCATTTAACTTTTTAACATAGTCGCCCGGTTAAAATTATGTAATCAACATAATCAAATAATTTATTCGAAGTCAAATTTCGTTTATTGAATATTCCACGTTAGTTTCTGCGTGTACAATTATTGACAAGTGCATCAAAAATATCAATACCTCAGATTGATAGGGGGAGTTGCTAAAAGTTGGGAAGGAGGGACACAAGTTCATTTTTAAAGCAAAATTATCTGGTAAAATCAAATTACGCTTTTAAATTAAAAACTCACGAAAATGATACACCCTGTAGGTGTAGTACCTACTGGGAATATTAAGTTCAGACTTTATCGAAATACCATGTATCCAAAAAGCCTGGTTAATTAAGTATATTTCTTGTAGTTTAAACATTAGCGACGAATCTTTTATAGCCAGCGAATTGGTATAGATGTTTTAGATTACATATTATAATTGTCTATAAAATTAACCAGATTTCTAGATACTTTGTATATTCTCCAGCTAGTTTACAATCTAGCCAATCAAGCACACTTTAATCCTTAACATTAATTATTTCCTAACAAATATTTTAAAGACGCCAATTTCCCATATAAAACCTCCTCACTAATTCAACGCTGTAACACAACGCTTTCCGTATAATTCAATGGACAAAATTTGATTATAACAAGGCGTCGCGCGTCGACGTGAGCGTCGGCGTCGCTAAGCGTCACGACGCGATGCTTCCATTCCTGCTATCCTGCTAGTGAGTGAGGAGCTTTCTGGAAAACTGAGGACGCTATATGCGTTTCCAAATTTCCCTTTGGATTGCTCTGTAAAACTGCAACCCTCAAAACCTATAACTTACATACCATTTAGTCTCTGATACATCCAAAGTAAATTACATTGTACTAGACGTATATAATATACTGTTTTAAAGTTTTTATAATATCTTTTATTCATTTTCTTTTTCTAAAACATGTTTATCTTATTGAAATTTCCATATTTTTTTGCTCATATAGATAGATTTAAACAGTTTTTAATTCTAAATCATTCACAAAAAAATATGATAAATATAAAGGGAAATTGGGTTAAATGTTATTTAATTTCTATATTATATTAAAAAACATTTTGTAGTGACGGATATTATTAAAAAACATGTTGTAGTGGTTCTATTCGAAATGTGAGGAAATTATTCAAATGCATCAAGCTGGTGTTATACTCCTCCTGAAAACTAGCGTTTCAGCAAATTACTTCTATCATTTCTAATCCCCTGTCAGTGAAATATCGCTCCAACGTGAAAATTTCTGAAACTACTGTAGGGGAATAAATACAGTAGGGTATAGGAGTGTACGTATTTAAATTGCGTATTAAACGTATAGATCTATTTTTAGTTTAGTGGAAACAATCGATTTCGAATAAAAAGTGAATATATTAATAATTGCTTTCTGCGGAAGCTATATCGTTTCAGCCCTTTTCAACTATATTTTTTATAGTCACTGCGATTTAAAAATCGCAATCGCAGTTTCAATTATTGTGATTGGAGAAGCGCGCTGTTTTTACTTATCTCTATTAAAAACAATTTTTATCTTTTTATGGTGTTTCTCGTTTCTCAATAGAGATACAAAAATGATGCGATAGAAAAGATACAAATACAAAGAAACAATACAAAAAAAGAGATACAATGATAGTGATGCGAAAACCGACATCACCATGCTACTTTTTATTAATCTAAAGATGCTATACACATATTTGTAGATATATCATCTTAGTATAGAGTATAGATACATGCATATGTTACTGTAAATGTCCGAAATGCGGTTAAACCTAGGATAAGCGCGCTCAACCTAGGATTTACCAAAAACATTAACTAATTAGGTTAGCATGGTTATTTGGAGGGTGTTAATGCATTGGTTAGCCTGGTTATTTGGAGGGTGTTAATGCATTGGTTAGCCTGGTTATTTGGGGGTGTTAATGCATTGATTAGGTAGTTATATGGTGGGGTTGGTTGGTTTTTACTACCACTTGCTTTTGGTAAATCCTAGGTTTTACCGTATTTCGGACATTTACAGTAACATATATTTCTAAAGCATCTTAGACTTCTTAGTTCTTGAAATACAGCGCGAATATGAAAATGTTGCATTTTTTGACCCCTTTCATGTGTTCCTTATCTTAAAACTTATCGAAAAGTTGAAAAAAGTTCGATAAAGTTTTTTTGACGTAGAATCCAGGGGTGTATCTAGTTTTTTGTTGGGAACTGTCGTTCTTGAAATATGACCCAAACTTATGTTGTAGCAGTGCAGTTTGGGACTATGTTTATGTAGATTTCAAGGTCCACTATTAATATATTTAAGCCATTTATTTTAAATTGATAAGGCGGATTTTGTAACTTTACGCCTCAATTATTGAATATTTAAAAACAAAACTAAAGCATCTTTAACGGTCAAATTTTTAATTAATGACTTTCACTTGAAAATTCCGCAAAGTCGCGAATCCGACGTCTCATCGAGAAGCTCCATTCCCATCACCAGTAGCCTCTGAACAAACGCCGTCAGGCGGTAAGTCTTTTGTCGTCAAATATACGCTGTTTAACGCCATTAAACTAAATGGCTTTAAAAAGAAAATATTAAAAAAAATTAAAAGGCGTGCTGCATTAGCTTAAGCAAACAAAACGGGCCGTAAAAGCCGGGACCGTAATGTATGTACAGAAGGAAGTTTTCTGTTTGCTCGGCGTGTTTGACTGTAAGATTTAAGACGATGGACTATAAAATAGTGAAAATTATTCTCCCTTCGTATTGTTCTAATATTTTATCGGCTTCCTCGAGGAAGAATGTAAATACGTTGTTGCTAATGTGAGTTATATAATTGTAGTTCTACAGGATATCGTTTACTTTATTGATGGAGGAAGTCGTAAGACTACTTGGCTGATAATTGCCGGCTCGAAAATTGTTTAATAAGCAGATTATTGCGCATCGCATGCAAATTCTCTATTTTTGTTAATGAGTTTTTAAGATCTTTTATTAATGAACTAGGAAGGTAGATATACAATGACTTTGGTAAAATTCTTTACAGTATCATAAATTGTATTAAAATATAGTTCTTTGGATGACTTATTATTTGTCTCTTTCTTTAATTCGTTAGTTTGTTACAATAAATATCTGTTATTAATTTTTAACAAATCTACTTTCCCAATTATTTTTTCTGTCTACTCTATTATCTCATTGTTTATTTCGTTATTTCCTTTGCGATTCTATTTTCACACCAGTTTGTGTGTTCATACAAATTAACAAACAAATTTAAAAAAAATGTCTATATACCTATGTGACGGATTTATCTCTCCAAAAAATCGTATATGGGTATTTCGCCACTGCAAGAAAATCTACAAAATAAAACAGTTATTTTTTGTAAATCAACATCTATAACATCGATAACAATTAAATCAAGTCAATTAAACAAATTTAAATTATTTTATTTTATTTCCATGCGAAATAAAATAAGTTGTATAATTTTTATAAGCTAAAATATTGTTTAT